ATTTTTAATGTAAAGTATACATATGTTTAATAAAGCACACATACCTAGCCTGACAAAGGGTTTAAAAAAAAAAAAAAAAAAATAAGTTAGTTATTATGTAAAAGTCTATATAAAATTGTAGCTACTTATTTATTATATAATAAAGATATACTATAAATACATGCTACTGACCTGGCTTAATGGATTATTGCTAAAAAAAAAAAATCAGAATGGCTGATAGCTTAAATAAAAGTTAAGAACGTGGAAAATTCAAATAATAATAAATATAATTATTATTATTATAATTATAATTAATAATTTTTTTATTAAAAAAAGCCAGTTACTATTGAAAATATATAATATTCTAAATTTATTTGAATATAAATTAACATCAATAATGAAATAACCGTTTCGAACAAGTAATTAATTTATAATATTAATTTTTTCTACTATTAAACCATCTGGTGGTTTATTCTTTGTATGAACACGATGTTCTCCAAGTCTTACTGATCCTCACCCATGGGCCTCTGTCTTTTCTGTATGTCTCTGTTCAATGGCAATCAATGCATCTAAAGCTTGAGAACCGCATATGCTGTACCCCTTTTAATAATAAAATTGCCTGAATTAACTCTTTCACTGCGATATAAATATTTAAATGGAATCATGAAAAGTCATTAATTTAAAACACCAACATTCCCATCATTTCTTTTAACTATCTGAAAAAACTTGTCTATAATCTTATTTTAATTAAAAAGGAAATAAAAATTTAATAAAGTCATAATAAAGAATTTTGCAATTGCGAACTAATAACTTGAATTCTTTACACAGCAGGATATAAAGTTTCTGTACTTGATTGACCGGAAGCCTTGATATTAATGAACTTTCTCTCGTCTTTCTATTTTAGATGCATGCACAAATTGCAACTTAAGATTTGAACTTTCAACGTCACTTTGAGATAAACTTTATGTCCAATATATTTTCTTATTAGAACTATCATTTCATTTTTGCATGGGTTTGGGCACGAAATAAAAATTATTTTAGTTTTCTAGAGAGATCGTTACCGAATATAAAGTTGTGCTTATATTAATCCAATGGTGAAATGACATCATTACGGAGAGCTATTGGATTAAACGGTATATAACGCGTGCTGCTCAGACATGATGTTTTGTATCTACTATACGAATTCAACCGTCGCGGAAATTCGTCTTCGGGATTAGAAGCAATGTAAATTTTTCATCAAATATTTAGAGAATGCGAAAGAGAATCTAAAAAATAACGAGGGTCCGGATTAGAAAAACCGAACATCCTTCTTATTATCACCTGTTTTTGATTCTTTCTTTCATCATATATGTCGAAAATTTTATTTAATCGCGTCATAGACGCGAAAATTTACGATTGTCCACACGCTTGGCTAGATTAACCAGCTTATATCCTTGGACCGTTATTACCATTCCTTATCAATTTGAACTCTCTCCAGATCAATCAAAGTTGATTTCAAGAAATGATAAATGTATCGACAACTTTGGTATGAATAAAAAAAGCGTCCACGGCAGATTCCCGTTTCTTTCAGAAGCAACATTTGATTTCTTTACACGATTTTTCCGTAAATTTATGCGAGGGTATGATGGTGGAAAGATATTCCACACGATAGAGCATTGAAGGAGGTTATTACATGAATCAATAAATCCGCTATATTAAATACTCCATATAGTTAGTTCATCGTTCACGTGACTAGTATCACTCGTCATAATCACATGATAAAAAGCATAGAATTTACGTAACTTACATTTAAAACTTTCGTTTAGAAAAAATCGAAATGTCGTAATATATTTAAGTCCGACACTCTTTAATGTATATAATAAGGAAACTGTGCCTCTTTCTAAACGAAGTGTTCCACCTATTAGGCATTGCGAATTCGAAAAATCAGGGTAACTCAAATAGTAAATATCAATCTGAATCATGAACGACTCTTTCGGTTCTGGTGGAGAACAGTTCGATAGCGAAGGAGTTATGGGAGCTGCTTTCATTCCTGCTCCAAACGACGTTCGTTCCGCGCTACAATATACAGCTCTAACATCCTTGACTCCAGCTTCCGCAGGTTTTTTTTTTTTATTTCCTGAATTATTCGGATTTCTAAAACGCCTTGTGCCTCCCGCTCTAATTTGCTTTGCAATCCAACAAAGTTATGAGTGACATACCTTCGATTGCAATCACATTTGAAGAGTATTCGACTTGCAATACATCGGATCCAGAATATGCGCGAATTGCTAACCTGTTGGAAAATCAAGCTTCCTCGCAATTTGTAGACATAGCCCTGCAACAGCAATTGCATACTGTTAGGAACTTGCTGAACCAAGTGGATGTGAGTTATGTGTAAGTTTGCACCATCGTTATTTTTTTCTTTTTAATTAGATTTGACAATTTATTGTTGTAATAGGCGATTCATAATTATTTAAAATACTGATCAAAATAATGGATTTAAATTAGGCGATTTAAAACTCCTTCGGTGCCATTCCCACAACCTTCGTTCGAATATGCATTCTCTCCCCAACCCTCCGTTCCGCAAAAAAGGCCATTTACACAAGCAATGGATATGGCTTCACGAGACAGCGACTCCTCAGATTTTCATCATAATATTTATCAAATCTCAGGAATGGGACCTTTATTACAACATCATACTTCAACTCCAGTATTTTCCGGTGAGAATGGTATATCTCAACAAATGGATTATCAGAAAAATGTATATTCGAAATCGAGCATTTTATCCAGCACGGATTCGCTTCAAGGGAATAGTACGTATGAAAACAAAATGAAGCCCCCGAAAGAATGCCAGCAAAGTGTTCACAAGGACTCGGGTGATTTACATTCAATTAATGATCAGAAATACAAGGACAAATTATCACCTGTTGATCACAAGGAGTATCGTTCTAATGTTTCGGATAAAAGTCCATGTAAAATATCGGAGAGTACATCGAATATATATCCGCCACCTCCGAAAGTAATTATTGAAAGCGTACCTCCAAAGGAATGTACAAATCCAGAAAGTTCACAGAAATATCCAGATTCGTCTTCACAAGTATTAGAAAATCGGTTGCCTTTACCGAAAGTTGTCATAGATAACGAAGCGTTCTCTTGTCAAAAGAATATAGAAGATCGCAATATAACAAATATAACAAAGCGGCATAATATGCGTATTACTTCTCCGGAAGTTGTTATAGAAATTCCACCTCGCGATATTCTGGCAGAATATCGATCACCTGATGAATTGCGTAGCGGTCAGCAAATTTTTCAGAGAAGATCAAGCCAAGAATTGAGGAAACAAAGGGACCGAGACGATGAAAGAAATGGAGAGAGTATGTAACATATAATGGCAATTTATTAATGCTTATTCATTTCACTACCACAACTTTACTGAATGCTGATTTTTCAATAGGTTCTTTGATCAAATTGGTTAATTACATTAATACAATCTTTGAGGCTGAAGATTATATCTTTTTCTGATCCATCATCGACCTCATACTTGTCGATCATTGTCCCTTCTGGTATAAATTCAAATGAACCTTTGCTTACATTAGCGGCCATTCGCCAACTTACAAAGTATGTTGGTAAAGTGAGTCGCTATGGGCGTCTTGAAGAAATTGAAGTGGATGATTTGGGAAGGGTTCTGAAGATTTTAGAAAGATCAGTTCGAGAGGTTGAGACTTCAGATATCCTTCCTAGCAATCTATCAGCTTCACTTTGTACACAAAAGAATACATTAGTCAGCTTAGAAAATGATCGCTCCGAGAATGATGAAATGGATCAAGACGCCGAGTCAAATATCAGAATTGTTGAAGATAAACTCGAAAAGATAATCAATGGAATTGAAGCCGCGATTGCAGCTTTTACAATAATGACTGGTGGAAAATTAAGCAAGCAGGTTTGTAGCCAATCTCGACATATATTGTTTCATGATATCTCGGAAGTTATGAATAATTGTATATTATTTATATAGCTTTATCCCGAGGATCTAATCACTTCAAGTCTTAATCTCGTGAAAGGTCAACTCGGAGGAATAGTCTATCGTATATTCGAGCTGAACACTTCTGATGATGCACTGAGCAGTATGCATACATGGTCAAGTTCATTATTTATGTTCTATATTAGTTCATCTGCCTAATTGTTGGTTTGTTTTTACAGATGAACCAAACTCGATTTTGCGAGAAATGTTGAAGAAATATCCTCATTATGACCTGCGATTTTTGTTCTTGTATGCTATTTATTTTTTTTCTTATTTCCTTAACTCTTATTTGTTGTCGTTTTACTTCTCGAATCAAGCGCCAAATTGCCGGAATTCTTCCCGTAATCACCAACTATTTGCAAAAATTATATGAACTTATGCGTCAGGAGGAATTGTCAGATGCTATCGTGATAACGATTAGCTTTATTGCTATTGGTCCATTCTTTGTGGACTCGGCGAATGGCAACAGCAATTTTATATTTGGAAATGGTATCGAGGCAGTGAAATTAGTCGCACTCGATTTATTACGATCGGTAAGAAAAGTGGCGCATAATAATTAGCCGGATGTAGACGATGTTCTGAAAAATTTTCTTCAATAGGTATTCATAAATTATCAAAAACAACGCACGTGGATACTTGAGGAAATTCTTACTTCTCTCATTAAATTGCCAACCGCAAAAAGAAATTTAAGGCAGTACAGGTAAACTTTTACCAGATCTGATTTAATTTCTATGGCTGTTTGATACCTGAAATGATGATTGTAAATATATTGAATGAAGGTTGCCAGATGGTAAATCTATCCAAATGGTCTCGGCGCTCATTCTACAATTAGTACAAAGTTGTACTACTGGAATGAGTCAAGAGAATTTCAAAAGTGTAGACGAACGACGAGATGCGGAAGTTACTGAAAAGGGCACACGTGACGATAATGGCGAATTAAGAAAATGTGGACATGTATGGAAAGCTGGGATGGACGCAGCTAGTACCAATGCTGGTTATGTTTTCAAATTTTTACTCTCAAGGTAAATATTTCTTCATTTGTGGATTTATCACGTTGATAGAAGCTTTATTCATACTTTAAAAAAAAAAAATAATAATCCAGATGTACCAAGTCAATTAAAAATTCCAATGAATCTGAGTATCGTGTTCTATTGGATAATTTCATGGAAGACGTGATAGCGGTATTAAATTACCCGGAATGGCCAGCAGCCGAAGTGATTGTTCTTATTTTCAGTAAAATAATGGTATGTCATTTTAATAAATGAGGCGGCGCATCTGGGCATATATTAAAAAAAAAAAAATAATAATAATAATAATTTTTTTTCCTTTAAAAAAATGTGCATTTAGATTGGATACATTAATGATAAAAAAGCTGACACGTATACAAAATCGATGGCCATAGATTATTTGGGAACTATAGCTGGTCGCATCAAAAAATTCGTTAATTCCAGTATTATATCTCACGAAGAATCATCCGACGATATCTGGGAGGATAAAGACGAACGACGATGGATGCATAAGATCAAGTACATTCCAAAGGGAGAGGTATTAAATATTTGCTCATAATGATTCCAGGAAAAAAGCACCACAACCAATGTATTTATTATGTCATTCGTTATTATTAGATTACAACTCTCACTCGCATGCAGGAAATTAAGAATCTTTACGAATGTCAAAGGGCTGTACTCTCTTTTCTGGAGATAAGCGCCATGGAAGATCCTGCTGTGCAGGTACATAGTTTAAATATCATTATTTAATGCCTATGTTATACTTGAATTTTTTTTTTTTTTTTAAAAAAAAAAGAAAAATCTTTTTTAAGATTAAAATTCAAATTAATCCTTATTATTTAGTGTGCGCGTCAATTTTACTTGACGGAATGGGGATTTTCGTTTATAAATACTTTACAATTGATAGAAGAAAAAAAGTCGGATTCAAAATGCGAGGACGAGGAGGAAAAAAACAAATATGAGTTCATGAAGAAGCTGATGGATAAAATTATCGCTGAATATTGGAGGATGTCATCTGAAGATCATATAGCTCAAAGTCTTGGACAGAGGTTAGAGCTTTGATATTAAATACGAGGGCGTTAAAAGGCGAACTTAAGTAACGATCTCTCCTCTTGTCATGTAGGTCACAGAGTGTTGATAGATCGGATATCCTTCTCATCACTGAACTTCTCGCATCCAGACAGTCACTTTATCAGAACTTTGATACGATTCTTTCTAGAATATTAGTATCTTTGGACATGGGCGTAGTGGCCTTTCGAACGAAAGCCTTAAGAGCTCTAGGACAGGTGGTGGTTTGTGATCCTAGTATTCTGAGTCAAGTAAGTTACCAGTATTTTTTTCTGCAGTCTCGAGGCTTTGATTTTATTTTTTTTTTAATAATACTATTCAAAACTCAATAGGTCAATGTTCGCCAAACGATTGCACAAAGGCTTTCCGATAATTCCCCGGCAGTACGTGATGCAGCCATCGATCTTGTTGGTCGATATCTTGCACAAAAACCCGAGATTACCGAACAATATTATAAAGTCATTAGCGACCGTGTATTAGTGCGTTATCGATGATCATAATGGCTTCTGGATTTCAAACGCATGCAATGCTCAAGTCTCTCATCATATTTTATATTTAAAGGACACCGGTCTTAATGTGCGAAAACGTGTGATTAAATTACTTCGCGACATATACCTCAAGAGCACTGACCAGACCATGATGATAGATATTGGATGTAAAATTCTCACGCGAATAAACGACGACGACGATCATGTCAAGGTTGATGGCAAAAATTTTTTCTGATTCACGTGCGCTCAGATCGACGAGGCTAATCTTTTTTTATGATTTCACAGGATTTGGCACTAAAAACTGTTCAGGAGTTATGGCTTGTACCGTTTAAGCACCAAAAAAATGCTGGCATTTATTTTGGCGATGAAGAAAGACAAGGCGATTTTAGTATGATGTCAGCTGTTGGGAAAAAAGAGGTTTTAGCAAGAAGCTTGCTGGTTGTTGGAGTCGCTGAACGACTCGGAGAAAGGAATGGAAATATCATGGGTAGTTTTTTCAAAAAGGTTGGTTAATAATATAATATTTCATTTTGGTTTTTTTGGCAATGTTTGTTATAAATTGAATATGAAAAATAGGTGTTGGAAAAAGACGACAAACAAAAACGGGAAGCGTTAAATATATGTCAACATATGGTCGATTGTCTTTTTGAACATCTGTTGACTCTTCAGGACTCAAATTCAAAGGTATTTACAATTTTAGATCATCATTCTTTTGATTATAGTCATAGTCGATTATAAAAAAAAAAATAATAATTTTAATAAAAAATTCTAGACCGAAGTTGTTAGTTGCATTAGCACAATAGGCCTTCTAAGCAATGCATCTCCATCATTAGTCAGTAACCACGTCGTCACCTTGCAACCTTATTTAAAAAGCGCCAGTTCGGTAAGGAGCTTTTTTGTTTGTTCAAATTTTCTTCGGAAATAATATCATTGCTAATTCGAAAAATTTTTTTCTTTTTAGCCGGAAGACCAATCGATATTATATTATGTTCTGGTGATATACCGAAATGTTCTTCCCCTCCTTAAGAGACCCAATCCGATTTTCTTGAGCGAAATAGAAACTGTACTTATGGGATTGTTAACAAAGAGTCCTCAAAAAGTAAATAATACCATCATCATAAGGCGCGAATGAATGTTGTACCTTATCATTCTTTCTTAAATTATGTTCATAGATTCTCCAAGAAGTCGTTCCGTGCCTTTGTGTTATCATAGACAAACTGACGCTTAATTACCCGCGACTGACAAAACTTTTACGTTCGTGTACCGGTAAGGCTCCCTTATTTACCCGCGATTATATGCAAATGCATACCTGGTAACGTGTACCGTTTGTGCATTATAGAAAAGCTTAAAGTAGAAAAGAAGCAATTGGAAGCTGGCAAAGAATTATCATCGGCCCGTAACGTCATGGTACTTCTTTTGATTATTGGTTTGTTATGCAAAAACTTTGATTTCGATAAGAAGAGAGCGGATCAACCAGGTTGGTTGTTTTACCTTAATAGAAAAAATAATTATCGTCATCTTTTGAATCCATGCTAACCCTTCGAAACAAACTGACATATACCTTAGAGAAGATGAAAGATTTAGATTCGATTGACAAGGTTATTCGAGGAATAATTTGAATGTTATTCTTATTCTTCTATTTTCGTATGCACGCAGATTAAACCATTCTATTGAAATAGGGCCCCATAATAACAGTTACTTTCCAGCTGGTTTTATATTTCTGTAATGATGGTCTATCGGAAACGGTTCAAAAGATGGCATTGCAAAGTTTAGGCAAGTAATTAATTAGGAGTGTGTTTTCCCTGTTTGTTTGTATGCCCCTTAACGAAAAGCTCTTCTTTGTTTAGGCTTCATATATCTTTCATATCCAATAATAATGCTACGACCAGAAAGCACCAATTTAATGGATCGCATACTAAATACTGGTGTGATGGACATGAAAATACAATTGATGAAAGTATTCTTGGACTTTTTGGTGGAAGAACAACAAAAGATAAACGCGGACTTGGAAGACAAAAGTATGCGTATTAATAGTTGTAGATTTATCATAAAGCAGGTCAATTTCCTCATCCTAATAATCTTATAGAGAAAAAAAAGAACATACCTGTCGACCTGAAGGTGCTAATCGGGAACGCTGACGAGTTTGCTGAGGCTGGGTATGATGCCAATAAACTTGGTTTAATTAAGAAAATTGTTTTTAAAAAAAAAAAAAATCCTCACTCACGTGATTTCATTCTTAAAGCGTGAGCAGCTCTTTAATGCAGAGATACCTGGATCGAATCTTGGAATGTACCTTCGATCAAACCCAAAGTCTAAAAATTGTTGCACTAGACGTTTTAGGTAACATTATCCAACAAGGTCTAGCACATCCTGTCTTGGTAAGACTTTTTCAATTCACTTTAACTATCATCAGCACGTCTGTCTAATTGATCTTTTTCAATTTAGTGCATGCCAACCTTAGTCGCGATGGAAACCAGTCCCGAGAAAAATATACGCGATAAGGCATTTAAACTTCACCAGCATTTAAATGACAAACACGCTTCTCTGATACACACTCGAAACGTGGATTGTGTTAAAAAGGCTTATGCTTTTCAAAAGCAGCTTGCCGATGGAAAAACAGTATCCGGTAAATTCTAAAAATCTTGAACTAATTTTATTATATATGTTGATATAGTAAAAAAAAATTATTATTATTTTTTTAATTCAGGCTATGCAATGTATACTCAAGAAGGGCAGCCTGAAGCCTTGCTAAATCCGATGTATTCTCTCCTTAAAGATAAAAGAAAATCCCGTAACGATTTTCTCATTTCCATCGTTAAGACTTTTGATTTCGACTTGAAACGCTGCGAGGAATCCAAGGTAACATTTCAATTCTTGATTTCCGCCTCAAAATTGTTGACGACGCTTCTACCAAATCCTTTTACCATTTAGGTGGACGTTGGATTTTGCAGATTTATCGCCGAGAACCTTGCGATGATCGACTATAAAACCATAGAAGAAGTTCTTCACGTCGTTCATTTTATTGATCGCGTCCTATCTGTTGTCGCAATTAGTGTGTTGCATTCGATCCAGAAGAACACTCAATTCAGTAATATAGTTTTTGATAATTCAGGAGAGGTTATTTTAGATAATGTCCGTGTTTATATTGAGAACAAAATTCCTGATGACTATTTAGAGCCAAATGCATTTATAACCAATGAAATTGCAGATGTTGATGATGCATTGGATACTTTGGATTTGCCAAACGGAGGAGTACAACCGATGGAAATAACCGAAAATCGGGAAGAGTTGTCGGTGCAAGAAATCAAGAACACTGATCAAGGTAAATTAAAAATGTTGTCGTCACCCATCACGCTGTCACCAAACTTAATCTTATTTGACCATACCAGAGAATGTCCTGCCGCTTTCTTATGCCGCCACGGTTTCCATTTGTATGACCATTCTAATGTATTTAAAAGGACATTTAAAAAGGTTATACTCATTGAGCGAGGCGTGAGTAATTTATAAAAAAAAAACCAATCTCCGTTTATGGTTTTGTCCAAGCTATGAATAACTCGCATTATCTTCGTCCATGCCAGAAAATGTCGGAATTTCAATCCAGTACAAAGCGGATCTCACAAGGACAAACCGGCTGTACGCAATCAGACCGCCCCGTCTGTTATATCGTGGGAAGGACTTCCTTTCCTGGAAAAACCCTTGCTCTCGGAAAATGATGTTTATAAGCAATGCGAATTGGTATGTTTTACATCACATACTCTCTCTACATCCGATGTGAAGAACCGGATTTTCTCACGCACTTTTAATTTTTTTTAGTTCAGAAGACTCATGGCCGAGGATGGGACTCAAGAGGAAGAATTTGCTGAAACTGAATTGGAAAGTGATTTGTTCTACAAGCAACCAAATGAATACAACAATATGGATTTCGAAATTACTGCCTCGTATGCGCTCGATGAAACCTCGATGAGACAAGTGGGCACCAACTCATCGTCTAGAAAGGGAATAGTAAGAAAGTTGGGTGGCCCGTCAAAATCAAAGGTCGCATCAAAATCTTCAGTCGTCAGAAAAAGAAATTCATCCCCTTCAAAAAAGTCAAAAAAGAAACGAAAATCCATTATGGATATGGTATCTGAGGAGGAAGATGGTGACCTGATTACGTGATTTCAGGACAGAAATTTACGAACTTGCATGCATGTTTCCCAGATTATGTTTCATTGGTAATTTTAAGCGACAATGATTCCATGACATTGAACTTATATAATTGATTTATTTTTTTTTTTGTTTTAATTTCACTCATTGATGTAATATACTTAGATCATGGCTTCCACTCATTAAATAGTCATAATATCGCATGTAATTTTAATCTATAATAGAATTCATGAAGGCAAGAATTTAGTCATTCGTCTTATTAATCATAACACAATGGGTGTGAATTGATAATCATATAACCACATAACAAGTAGAAGATCCTTTAAATTAAGTATATACGACACATATGGCATATACTGTATATTGAATATCTCATTATTTTTATAAGTTTAGAATCAACTCAATCCTTAATAAATATTTGCGGTATATTTAAATGAATCTTTGCAATTTCTTCAATCAATTACAGAATGAAAGGATGTCATATTTATGCAAGTAATCATTGCAAGAATTAAAACAAGGAAGCTAATCGGAAACATCACCACAATTTAGAATAATCAATTGTCATAAAAATAATTTAATTTCGAAATTTTTATAACACGACACACGATACGTTCCTTAAATTACTTTTAGTTTAGAAAAATTCACCGCATCACATTACCACAATTTTTAAATGTTTAGGGTCGTTGAGTGGTGCGTGTTACTAACGCTCTATGCAGAGAGCGATAGCATGATTTGTTCCGCACGCAACCTGTTCAACAATCACGTCCTGAGGAAACATGACTTTCATTGGCAGAAACTGATTTTTCATATGGCCGAGTCCTAATCTTCCCGAAGGACTGCCGCTGCCCCACGTAAACAGCTCTCCCGATGCTTTTAGCAAACGTACATGAGTGCGATTGATCGAGATGAGAAACCTGAAATTCAGTTTAACCACCTGAAATCGCCGCAGTGTAATCCGCGGCACAGTAAATCTTTTGGATATTATTTAGGTCGGGTATACGGGTCGGCCTCAAGGAATCGATCGTACGGTCACCCAATCCCAATGCGCCGTAGCCACATGTGTACACTTCACCGGCATCTGTTAGAGTCGAATGAAGCGAGTTTTAGCAAGATTGTGATGAACTCGTCACTGTTCTCCTCCAATTAATGAATGTCGTGGTCAGGCTATTTTTTATAGCAAGTTCGTCTTCTTTCATGCCTAATCAGATGGCCCCTGAACTTGTGTGTCATCATCTTTTTCTAAAAATTGATAATTTGAATTCGATAATACTTACCAGTCACGTATGCGCCAAAGGAGCCACCGGCTCCAACATCGACTATCTTATGCTCGACAAGAACTCTTCTTGGTTCCAAGATCTTAAAGAAAAAAAAAATCAATTGTTTTTTTTTTTTCTCTCTCTTTCTGAAAGAGAAAGATGTAAACCGGAAATTGAAGTAACACGTAAAAGTGTATTGATAAAAACCTTGTTAACCTTTTTTCCTGTCATGCACTGCCCATATTCGGAGTTTCCCCAACTCCACAGCTGACCATTGTCTAAGAGTAAAAGTTCAACATTGGGGATAAAAAACATATGACTTATCGACAATACGCGTCAATTTACCCAACAAAGCGAAAGTGAAGTCGGCGGTGGATGCAATCTTGCGAATGGGAGAACTATGGAATTTTGGAATCAAAGAAGGAACCGATCGATCCAAGGTATTGCCATTCCCCAAACCAAGCTGTCCATCGGCACCCCATCCCATCGAATAAAGATTATCATTTTCTATGAATTAGCATCGATTTAAATGGATATGACGGAAATGTGTAGATATGATACTTCAGAAAGGAACCTACCGGTCAACAAGATAGTATGATCGAACCCGCATACTACCTGAATGATATTTTCTTTGATATCGTTGACACGACGAGGCATAGGAAAACACAAAACTTTTGGATTCTCGTCATAAAGAAAATCTTGTTTGCTTCTTCCAAAACCAAGTTGTCCATACATGGTGCAGCCAAACCCAAATAAATCCTTTTTACCTTTATTTTTGTTAACATGGAAAAAAAAAAAAAAAAAGAATGGAATAATGAAGCAAACATCATCCTTGGTAAAACGAATGTCAACGTTATGATCGTACATACCACTTTCGTCCCTCGACAGTAAAACAAATGAGTGAAGTCGACCGCAACTTAACGAGTGTACCTTGTAGACTTGTGGTAGTCCTTCGACGGGCCCATCACAAAAATACTTATCACTTATCGCCCCATGGCCTGTCAGTAATTTAACAAGATGTGAGATTCATTTAGGAACCGAGAAAAATCACTAAAATTTACCTAATTGTCCAAAAGAATTCAGGCCTAATGAAAACACCTTTGTAATTTTGCTTTCACTAGATTTAAAGGCGATGAGAGAGTGGGCCCAACCACTTGCGATGTGGGTGACGCTAGTATCCTTTTCGTAATGCACAGAAAATTTGATCGACCATCACATACTTATATTCGATTTCTCGTAAATTCAACGCACCTTATCCTCGTCAAGTCTTATTCGGGTTTTCACGAGTTCACCGAAATCAATCAGCCGAGGAGAAGTTGAGACTTCAAAGGCAGTCCCACGAGTATTTATATTTGAGCCCACGGAGCCCCAGTAAAACAGCAACTTTCGTCGAGCTCCTGACACGTTGATCGAATATTTCCGACCATGCAACGTATTGATCAGGCTGGCGTCGAATTTGTTTAATATGGAGGGTGACATGGTAAAAGAGTACGATCGAATGTTACTTTTTTTGGAGATCCCTATCCATTTTTGGAAGGAATGAATTAAGATTTAACGTAACACAAATCGTGTCGTTTTGTTTACCGAGTACAGGTGTAGATTAGATAAATAAACTGTCGCGTCGCGAATCATCCATCCAGTGCACGTCTCACTTTCTGTTTGGCCAGTAATTACTTACGTCTTTAAGAATTATAGAATGAATAACGAACAAGAACGGCAGAATGAACCACCGAAATTCATTTTACCACCGATATGCAACTTGCCGGCCATTTCTCTAATAAACACTCCAAACAATAATCCTTCTGCTCGTTCCGCGGGAATTTTGCCAAGCCCTTCGAAAATTTCTCAGGTCTCGTTTTCCCAAGCTCAATTGAATAACCGAAGCACTCTAATTATTAATAATTCCGTAAGGCCCAACCGTCACAGCATGCCTTCGCAAAAACTGCATCCTTCTCACAACGACCTCCTTTCACCCGAGTCACTTCCACTGAACGATCGCACCAACGTTTCTTTCACGGCTTACTGGCCAGGGTATTACACGGAGCACTCCATGGCCTCTCATAGTAAAGACAGCAGTAATATAAACACGTCGCAGGCCGTCGACTCATTATGGTTCGGAAATGGTGAATTTTTTTATTCAAATCGTCAGGATACGTCGCCTGGTGGAATTCCGAATATACAACTACCTTCGTTAGATGCGCTGGTCAGCAATTCTCCACACGAATCTTCCGAGAATCGACAATTTGGGTCAGATAGTATTCGAAAGCTGTCGCAGCAGCAATGCGCGAGTGATTCGAAAGATATGATAATATCAATGCGTCGAAAAAACGCGAACCAGGATGTAGAAAATATGGGTAAGAGGGGTTGGATGGGAAGAAGAGAACTTTTTCTTAATTTATTTCGACCCACATGACTCACGCCTTTTACAGATCCATTTCTGTTAAGAAAGTTTGGCTGTGGCACGCAAGACGGTAATGATCAAGAATACCTAAATCTTCAGATCGAAAGCGATAATGATAAAAAGAAATGTCGCTCAAATTGGAGTAAGAAGGAAACGAGATCCTTAATTGCAGCAGTAAAACCCAGGTGGAGGAATCTGTTGTTGGCTCAACGTAATTCCGAAAAGTCTCAAGTATGGTCCGAGATGTTCTCCGATCACAGCAAAAGGTTCTCGGGAAGAACCTTGAAAGCATTCAAGTTAAGGTAACCGCATTTTAGACGACAGTTGTTTATTACTCGATTGAACGCGTGCACATTTAATGATGTTATTATGACCGCCGTCTTCCGAAGGTGGGCCAGACTAGTATCCGATTTTAACTCTGTGGAAGATAGCTTGCTGGCGGGATCCGAGCCCATCGATTTCGATTATTATCACGAAATCAGGGAAATACTTGAGGACGACTCTTCGAATGATGTTCCTTTGTTCCAAACTTCGAAAACGAATGAAGCATCGCCGTACGCGAAAGAGACAGCATTCAATGACATAGATAGAAAACGTGATTCAGAAGGTTCGATTGAAACATTCCACGATGAGACGCTAAAAAGAACTTCAAGGAAACGTGATCGAAAGCAAACCTCCCATACGCCACCTCTATGTCACCCTCTTGAAGCTGACAAGAACGGGAAATTGTCGTTCTCTCAAACAGTGAAGAAAGCGAAACTTGTCGCCGGAGAGAAAACCGTTGAAACCATTCTTCAGCAGATTCAAGATAATAAACGCGACTACGAGAGGTTAATAGGATGTCTAAAGGATCTAACGAGATAATTCGCATAGGCTTCTTTACAAAAGAACATTGGGACGACATTCATAATTTCTAAACTTAAATATGGCATGGTGAGGCGACCAGGAATTTATTTGAATTTTGGTGATACGACAGGGGTGTAAACGAAAAATTTTATTATTTATACATATATATGCGTGTAATCGGGTCACAATGCTTGCCTATAATCGCTAGTCGAATTATTTATATTCCATCTAATAGACTGAAGGAGACGAGATTTCTGGTGGTAGTATTAAGGCTGTCGCCTACATTAACAGACATTCTTCAAATGAATATGGTGCAACCAAGCTCAAACCTTTAGACGGTATCTCATTTATTCTCATTTATTCAAAGTTAACGCACAACCTTTTTTGTAAATAAAAACGAAAAGTTTTAATACACTGGTTCGCAAGTGTAAAACGAGAAATAATAGTTTTTAATTTAAATTTATTAATTAAATCATAAAATAGCACATAAACGATTATCTTCAAGCCTGATAATCAGTTATGATGTCATTTTTCCAGAAACAATGGTGCTTTTAAAGTTAGATCGACCGATTGCCTGAGCTAATTTTAAACGCCGCACAAACGCACTGACCCAATGATTTAACTTAATTTCGACTAATCGCAGAAAATGATTTTTATAAAAGTTTTTTTCATGATACCATCATTATTCTTGTTTCTCATATTCCTGTCATTGTCGCTTGATTCATTACATTCATCTGATGATCCTTTGTCCAAAATTTTTCACCTGATAAGAAATCTAGAAGCCGCGGATACAGACACGTTTTCCACAGCAACTCAGGACGATAACGTTTATTCATACTCGAACTTTTTGGATGACTGTGGATACTTTGGAATTACAAAAAAAGAATGTAAAGAGAGATTTTGCTATTGGGAACCATCCGAAGACCCGAATGCAAAATGGTGTCGGTTCAAGGAGGGCAAAGAATATACGTGCAACGTCGATCCGGCAACAAGAACCGACTGCGGTTATCCGGGAATACAAGAGAAGGAGTGTGTAGAGAGATTGAACTGTTGTTGGAATCCAAGAGAAGACATTGTAGGTTCAAATTATTGTTATTTTAGAAAGGTGCCATGCAAAGGGTATAAGATAGTCAAATCACAAGAAATCGATAATCTTATAATCGTTGACCTGGAACTGATCGGCGATGGATGTGGCAATTATGGGCCAGATCCGAAATCGTTGAGAATTCTCGTCGAGGTATAGTCGTCAGATCATGGAATTTCATACTTTAGTTCGTATGGCATGTACTCTGATAAATAATTAATTATTTTTAGCACCAAACCAACGATCGGTTGCGCGTGAAGATTTTCGACTCAGAGAGATCGAGATACGAAATACCAGAAGACATAGTGCAAACTCCACGTTCTGAACGAATGGATGGGGATCCTCTTTATCAATTTATCTATGAGGACAATCCATTTACATTCTCTATAACGCGTCGTTCGACAGGGGAGAAAATTATTGATACAAAGGTACCGGGAATGGATTCCCTCACATTCGAAGAACAGTATATGGAAATTTCATTCGGGGTTATTGTCAAGTTTACGTTTGTCTTTACAAGTATGCGTTGTGTTTTTATTTGCACCATCTAGTAACATAAATACCCTACTTCACATTAGTTACCACCCAATCCCTATATATATGGATTTGGCGAGATCGTTCAAACGTTAAGGAGGAATCCGATGAATACCTTTCAAACCCTCTGGGTACGTCATTTTCTTTTGCACACAGATTATTCGTCGTCGCTTTCTCTCCTCTTACGCGTCCGTTTGTAATTAGAGTAGAGACGCGGCAACACCCTTTTCTGAGAACGGTACGACCTTCATGTCACAATACTTACCATATATCATAAGATCTAATTCATTGATTTTCCTGATTAGTGTACGGTGTTCACCCATTTTATATGGAAATAAGAAATGGCAGTGCCCATGGTGCAGTAAGTATATGTGTTCGGATGTGGCATCAGCTTTAGCATATCTAATTGAACGTGTACTTTTAGTTTCTACGGAATTCCAACGGCATGGATGTGTCCGTTACCCCATCGAAAATAAATTGGAAAGGTAATTCCGAAATATTTCATCGTTGATTAATCAGTATTGATTACCAATAAAGATTTCTTTAATAACATAATTTCAAGTTATCGGCGGTGTATTTGACTTTTACTTCTTTCTTGGACCGACACCCGCAGACGTGATTGCTCAATATACAAAGGCAAGTTATAGTTTGTCTCACAAAAACAATTGGAGTTCTTATTGTGTCATGCATTTGATACTTTTATCAGGCTGTCGGAAGGCCCGCCCTTCCGCCATATTGGGCTCTAGGTTACCATCAGAGTCGTTGGGGGTATAACAATGTATGATATCTTTTTCGCAATTATAATTTATTTTCTGATTTATTATTTTTTTTTTTTATGAATTCACTTATCAATTTTAAAATTTATACCCAGTTAACCGTACTTTCCAGCGTGGTGGAAACTTTTGGTGAACAAAAAATTCCATTGGAAACCATATGGACAGATTTGGATTACATGGATGGGCAGAAAGATTTTACTTGGAACCCTGTCGATTATCCTAAAAATGATGTTGCCCAATTTGTTAAAAAATTGCATGAAAACAATCAACATTACGTTGTTATTGTCGATCCGGCTATAAAAATTGAGGTCGGATATCTGCCATACGATGAAGGAACAAAGATGAATGTATTCATTAAGAACTCAAGGGGAGATGATATCGTGGGGCTGGTTTGGCCTGGTACGCGCACATGTTTGATTTGAGGTTCGGTCTATTACAAGGTATCATTTTACGTATTACCTTGGATTTTATCACAGGATTGACAACATATCCAGATTGGTTTAACAATGACACACTTATTTATTGGGAAAGCATGATCGAGAAATGGTTAGATGGAATTGTTCTTGACGGGTAAGCGCGAATATGCATTTCGTAATTAGGCGGTTTATGAAAGTCGCTGCATACCTTTTATTTTTATTTTTTTTAAGACTGTGGATTGACATGAATGAACCAGCAAGTTGGTGCCGAGGAGAGTGCAAAAAAGGTGATTTATATGATCCAGAATCCCATAAAAGGGCCGAATCAAAATTTAATGACCTTGCAAAGTCCCCATCAAACAAATTTCGAAACCTTAATAACCCGCCTTATAAAATTAACAATGGCGGCAAAAGATTGCCGTTGGACACACTAACATTGTCAATGGACGCGGTTCACTCAAACGGGATGGTAGAATATGATGTTCATAATTTATTCGGTCATATGGAATCAATGATAACTTACAGAGTTCTGGGAGAGAAGATTAATAAAGGAAAAAGGCCATTCATTATTACACGGTCAACTTTTTCAGGAACAGGAAAATACGCTGGGCATTGGACGGGTATAGTTTTTTAATGCATGTATTTTCTTTTTCATTTGGTTGTTCTTCTCACTTAATGACTATGCTATCACAGGAGATAATTGGTCGAGTGTAAGTTTTTAATTGGTCAAACACGTAATATTTGTGATATAGGCATATACTGTATATATTTATTTATTTATTATTATTATTTTTTCTAGTGGTCGAATCTGTATTTGTCCATACCAGGAATATTAAATTTCCAAGTAAGTTTGGTGCTAATAAGTATAAAAAAAATGCTTCGCTTTATTCACCTTAATTTGTGGTTGTTAAAATAGATATTTGGAATTCCTCTGGTTGGCGCGGATATCTGTGGTTTTAACGGTCATGCTACCGAAGAATTGTGTTTACGTTGGATGCAACTTGGCTCGTTTTATCCATTCATGCGGTAATTTGCTCAGCTCAGTGTGATCATAAAAAAAATTCAAATTATTATTTATTTACATTATCTGTCCCCCTTCTTTAATAAGAAACCACCATGTTAGACACAAAAAATCACAGGAGCCTTACATTTGGCCTTCTGTCGCAGAAACGTCGCGCAAATACATTGGAATTAGATATTCATTATTACCCTATTACTACACTCTCTTCTATGAAGCGAACGCAATGGGGGCTATGGTGCTCCGTCCTCTCTTTATTGAATTTCCGCATTTAAAGGGTGCGTTAGAATCGGATCGTCAATTTATGCTTGGTGGAAGTATTTTGGTTTCTCCGGTGTTACATAAACATCACACCACAGTCTTCTCAGCGTATATACCACCTGGTATCTGGTATGACTTTTACAGGCATCATTTAAGCTTCAAAGTAGATGATCCGGACGGTATTCGCCGAGATCTATACGCGCCTTTGCATGAAATGCCATTGCACATAAGAGGAGGATATGTTATTCCAATGACTCGACCTGGGATGACGACTACCGAGTGTCGCAAAGAAAACTATTATCTTCTTGTGGCTTTGGATGCGGACGGAAAGGCGAAAGGAAGTTTATATTTGGATGATGGAGAGAGTTTAGATATTGATGACAAGTATACTTACGCTGAGTTTGAAGCGTATGATTGGAATGTCCTGGTCGCAAAAGTTTTATGGTATGGTTATGATGATATTATATTGGATAAATTTGTCATCTTGGGAATTAACTGTCGGGATGCAAAGAAAGTCGAGAGGATAATGTTTAATGGCTTGGAGACTAAGTCTGGGTTTAACAATACTGTCGATGAAGATGTCATTTGGACGTTGGATGAGAAGGTTGGAAAGCTAACGCTAGAAGGGTTTAAAATTAGACTAAACGTCGGATGGAATTTAACTTGGATTTTAAGTTAAAATGTGTATGACACGAAATCATTTTTACGGGATCTGATGAGAGGCTGTTTACTAGAAAGGAGTAATGGTGATGACTGGAAATTCTTTTCAAAATTACCATTAGATTAAATACAATAACTTATTTGAAAATATGTATAAGCTTTATAAATTATTTCTCAATCAATGAAACAAATAACATAGTTAATAGAGCTTGAATTTTGAATCAATTTACTTTTTATCTAACAAAAAAAATAAATTTAACTAAATAATAATAGAAAAAATCAGATGGCTCTTTAATTTAAACATATGTTTGATAAAATCGTCAGCTTCAAGCATTGTTTTAAATAATTAAACCACAATTACACAGGATATTTTGTTAAAAATACTATATTGAAAATATAAAAAAGAAATCACTTTAATAAAATACTATAAAATTGATAATATATATTGTTAAAAATTAGCAATCTCATAAATTTATTTAAAAATAACTTTTTTTAAAATTAAAAAAGTAATAGTATAAAATTTTTACTTAATAAATTAACCTTAAATTAATTTTTATAAATTCAATAATTCAATATATAATATATTTTTTTAAAATATTTTGTTTAGTTTTTTTTTTTGTAAATACTTGTAATTAAAAAATGCGTTTCTAAAGAAGGAAATAAAAACAAAAATCAAATATTCTTTATTACAAAACATTAAAATTTTTAAATTAATAATTAAAAAATATTATTTATAATAATTCTCTATCATCTAAATTATTAATTTATAATATTTTTTAAATTTTGTCTGCTAAAATAAAAAGTTATAAATTTTTGTTCTTCAATAAGAGGCATAAATAATTTGTAAAATTATACAAAAAAATATTTACAAGAAATTTTATACTTTTATATTAATAAAATTTTATCAATTTTTTAAAACAATTTAAAAAATAACTTAAAAATTTTTTTTTACTTTTCTTTTTTATTTATACTTCTTTTCAAACAAAAAGCTAACTTCTAATAATCAAAAAAAAAATTAAAAAATATTTTTTTATCTATAACAAAAAAAGTTCTATAAGAAAAAAATCAATAATAAAATACTTATAATTTATCTCTTAAAGCAAAAATATGTACAAAGTTTTATATAATGAAAAATTAAGCAAACAAAAGCTTAAATCTTGAAAATTTTCTTAACTAATATTTTTATTCTTTTATAATTACTTATTTTTAAAACTTTTTAAGAAATTTTATCTATTTTAATTTGATTTTAAATTTTAAAATAATACAAATATACATAACCTTTACTGAAAATAATTAATTAATACAAAACTTATAAATAATTAAATATAAATAAGCTTTTATTAATTACAAAACATACATTAATAATATTATAAATAATAAAAATTTTGATTAATATTTTATTTTTATTTTATTTTTTAATTAAATTAATTTATATATCAAGTTCTATAAGATCAATAAAATATAAGTAATAAGTTATTATATAATAAAAAAACTATTATTTGTTAAATTAAAATCTTTCTTTTCTATAATTTTAATCAAAGTTTAAAATTAAAAATTTTTTTTTATTTTAGTTAGACAATAAAATTATATAATTTATAATCTATACTATAATTAACAATTTTTCTGCAGTAGTAACCTGCAGGTAATAATATTAGGAATTAGAAGAGTTTTTATCTAAACTCCTAATAGAGTAATAAATTACTTCCAAAGTTATATTTAGAGTAGTAATCACAAAAACAAGTAAGCTAATTAGCATTTTTAGCTTTAACAATTTATATTATGTGTATAGTTTACAAATGTTTAATAAATCACATACAATTAACCTAACAAAAGATTAAAAAAAAAACATAATTAACAATTTTTTATTTTTATATTATTATAAGAGTAATAGAAAATATTTATCAATAAATTTCTTTTTTTTCTTTTTTTTTTTTATCCCCTGTCAAGTTAGTTATGTGTAAAGATGGGTTCTTAAAGGGTGAGACAGGGACAAAAATCAAATATCCCTCACTAGAAAACATTAAAAATTTTAAATTAATAACTATAAAAAAACTACCCACAATTGTTTTCTACTATCCAAATCATTGATTTATAGTATTTCCTGACTTTTGTCCCTATTAAAGTAAAAAGCTATAAATTTTGTTTCTCAAAAAGTGACATAATGATCTGCAAAATTTTATATACTAAATACTTTAAGGACCCATCATTAGTTATATATGCTTTATTAAACATTTGTAGGCTGTATATTTTAAATGAAATACTAAAGCTAAATCTCTAACTACTTACTCGTTTTGGTTGTATTATCTCTCTAAGTGCAACTTCAGAAGTGATTTATCACTCTATTAGAAATTTGGGTCACTATTGTAGATCATTCTTTTGAACTCTGACAGGGATCAAAACCCTAATTACTTTATACTACACTTCACTCCATTTAATAGTATTTCTTTCAACTTCTTGTCTTTGACTCTTTTTTCTTTATATATCAGTTTCTTATTGAATCAATTTTCTATAATTTTGTTCTTTTTTTTCTGATCTTGTGGATATAATAGTCTTTTTATCTTGTCATATTTGCAGATTCCTGATTTTTGTTTTCATCAATTACTTTTTCATATCTTGCATTCTATATTTTCTTTTGGAAGTGATTACATATTTTTTCTTGCATCTTTGTTATCTATTTTCTTGTTTCTTTTCCAATTATCTTGTCATAATATATCAAATTTGCTATTTTGATAACTAGTTCTTCCTCTATTAATCCCATATAGAAGCTAAATGTATCCTGACTGGTTTCTGGGATTCTTTTTATCAGTTTTTTTTTCTATCCATTTATCAATTTCTCCTATTTCTATTCTATTATCTATTCTCAAGCTTAACTCTTTCTCTTTTGATTTAGTTTTCCTTTCTTTTAAGAGCTTTCTTAATCCTTTCAAGACTCCTTCTATTCCTTTTTGCCATGCCTTATTCCACTGAGTCTTGTAAGTTGGACATTCTAGCAAATGTTCTATTGTTTTCTCTTCTTGGCCACACATAATGCATTTCACTTGCTTGTAAAGATCTGATCTTTTTGTGACTAGCTTCATAAGTGTTGATAACTCATCATTGATCAGTTTAATGAGAAAGCTTTTGTTTCGTGAGCTTTTAAATAAGGTATTTCATATGTGTTCTTTATTAAAATGTTCTCATACAAGGTTCCATATGTATCTGTGATGATCTTGGATTTGTTGAACCTATCTTATTTATTAATAAAATTTTTTTAATTAGATATAACTATTAAAAGATAGTAGATTAAATAATATAATTTAATTTCTATTAAGTTATATAAAAATATAAAGTCTATTATAAGCTACTTATTTATTATAAATTATTGGTTAAAGTTAATTTTGCAAAAAAAAAAAACTCTTTCTGCAAATCCCTCAGATCCTTAAAAATTTCCTTTTTAGGCAATTCACACAAGGAAAGAGAAACATATATAATTCAAGACACATATTCTTGCAACACTAGTATACAACAATCATCCTAGCACAAGACAACATTTCGTGCACAGCTCTAGAGCAGTAAATTGTTGAAAAATACATACATACAGCAACAACTTTGACTTTTTCTCCTTTTTCAAGAAGAAGGAAAGAAACCAACATAAACTGAT